TTGGTGCACAATAGAGACAGAAATATAGAGCTACTGTTGGCCCTCCATATCCGCAGGTTCCCAAACCATGGATTCAACCAACTGAAGACTTAAGCATAGTGCACTGTCCACAATTGCTTGAAACCAGGAATGTGGGAACCCACAGATATGGAGAACCAACTATGGGACACTAGTATTCAATCATTTTTGTGTCTGTGGCGAGTCCAGGACCAATCACCTGATGAATATCGAAGGACAACTATATATAGAAGCACATTTCGGTTCTCACAAAAGAGAGTAACTTTAGGAACTACTCACAAGGAAAATTTAAAGTAATTGTAGTATATACAGTGGGATAGTTTTAAAAAAAACGAGTGTGGAACAATCTACTCCCTTGTGTTTCTTGATACAGAGATTTTTACATATTCTAATGTGTGTTAAAATGAAAGATGTAGCCCACTTACGCATTGAAATAATCTCAACTTCAGAATTTCTGAATCCCTGTGATCATTCAGTCATCCCTCAAGTCCCAGGAAATAAACAGATCCTAGAGGAGGGGGCTCAACACCAGTAGGGTCATGAAGAACTTGGGACCTGATGTCCAAGCATAGATTATAAGATTATAACCCTTATAAGGGTTATAAGAGCCCAGCTGTGTCCCTGCACAGTCATTTCATACTTTATTTGATATCAGAACTGTGCTCTGCTTTGGCTATGATGAAGTGTTTGCCTCCTAAAATAGCTGTATGCAAAAATGTTGTATTTCTTGGAAAAGAAAAGCCATTATATAGATGATTAATTTAACAGGCAAAAGCGAATGAAATATTAAATGTGAAAAATGAAGTGCACGTTATGGAGAACACTATGGAGAACCAGAAGGCAGAAAGGGAAGAATTGAGCCGCCTTCGGACGGCATGGCAACGTAAAGCCACGGCAGGCAAGCCTGTGAAACAGCAGTGGGGAGCCTTCAAAGAGCACCTTAGAAAGGTGAGGGAACATGCAATGGGTATTATTTAGCCTTAAAAAGGAAGGAAATTCTGACATGTGCTGCACATGGAGGAACCTTGGGAGCATAAGTGAAATCAGTCAAACACAAAAGGATAAATATTGTGATTCCACTTATGTGAGGTACCCAGAGTAGTCAAATTCATAGAGCCAGAAAGCAGAATAGAGGTTACCAGGGGCTGAGGGGTGGGGTGTCAGGGGGAGGGGTGGGGTGTCAGGGGGAGCGGAGAAAAGGAAGTTAAGGTTTAATGTGCACAGTTTCTGTGTGGGAAGATGAAAAAGTTCTAGCAATGGATGGTGGTGATATTTGCAGAACAATGTGAATGTTCTAGTGCCACTAAACTACACACTTAAAATGGTTAAAATGGTAAATTTTGTTATATGTATTTTACCACAATAAAAAAGAGGGCCTGTGCTTTTGTTCTTTGGTGGTTTAGAACCACAAGCTCACGCTGGGTTGTGTGTTTTCATGGGAACTGAGGA